CTGACCTTTCTCCCCAATGTGATGTTTGTGTATTGTATGTACGGTCGGCAAGGTCTGTCATCTTGCCGACAGACCTGCAAAAGACCTGCAGCTGACAAATAAAGGCTCTCTCTCTCTCTCTCTCTCTCTCTCTCTCATGTGCATCACTGTTGACAAAGATCTGACTGTTAGTTCTTCAGGGTTCTTATATATAGTTTGCCCAAGGATCTCAAAATGGTCTTAAAGTCTTCAGAAGAGCCTTCGTCGGCTAAATGTGAGGTGTTTAGAGTTGATTAATGGAAAAAGAAGATAAAAGGAAACCATAGACACGTAAATTTGTATTTCAGAATTTCTAGACAACTTTCCTTTCTTTTACCTTGAGCAGTTATTATAATAAAACAATGTGGGAAGACTAGGGAGGAAAGGTCTTTTTGGTGGAACTTCTAACATTTGACAGGCATCTGGATCTTATAATATTGAATTAAAAGGGGCAAGTCATTGGTTATATTTGTCTGTTTGCTACCGGGATTCCTTAAAAAGCAGATGTACATGAAGGTGGAATATAACCAAATTTTGAAGAGATTACAATTAGAATTAGATCCAGGAATTTTTGGAAGTGTTCTTTACCATGATGAGATGCCTTCACCAATAAATTGGAAGTGATCATCTCGATGTTCTCAAGAAAATAGCACAAACTAGTGCTAGGATCTGATATCTTTCTGCATCCAGGCACTCCATTTATGCCTGGATGCAGAGGAAATTTTCTGCATTAGCAGGTATGCTGTGTCAAACATCTCTTATTATACTGCTGGCTTAAACGGGTAATTATTTTGAATGGGAACTAGTAATTACATCAATCAGATATATACTCAACTGCAGTCACCTGAAAAAATGTATTGTGAAGTTCTACAGGGAAGCCAACCGGACTGAGACCAATATAATCCATACAGGGTTTCTTATACATTTACATACTACACATTGAGGTCATTCCAGGTGAGAACATTTACACATTCTCATATTGACTTAAAAAAACCCAAAAAACTCACTTTCAATGGTGTCATATGTTCTGAAGGTCATCTCCACGTGATCCCATTCTAAGAAGCTGCATGTCCCAGCAAAAGGCTGGGCAAACACGACATACTGTTCATTACCAAGAGTGAAGGCATCCACCGAAATGGACTCAAACTTCAGTGACTGATAGGTGGCAAACTCTGAAAGGTGGGACATAACAATTAAATAGACATGAGAGAAAGATGCTGAAGCAGTCGCTTTAGCTTCTGTGATACAAGGAGATGTGCAAGAGGAAGGTACCTGCTGCGATGCAGTCAAAAGAGTGAGGCAGCAGGTCGTTGATCTTCTTCCCCTGGTGAATGGGTGGGCCACTGCAGTAGATTTGGTCTAGAGTAGCATTGGTGTGGTGCATCCACTCCACCAACCACTTGAGCTTGCAGTCACAGATCAAATTGTTGCCTCGCAGATCCCTACATGAATGGATCACAAGTAAAATACAGTTTAATTTTATTTATACAGTTTCCTCAAGGTGCTTTACATTGTAAGGTTAAGACCCTACAATAACACAAACAAAACCCCAACAACCAGATGGGATCAATCAGCAATCAGTGGGAAGGAAAACTCCATAGAACCAGAACCTGCCATGACAATCAAGTAAAACACTAATGTTACAACATGAAATAGTTAATATTTATTCTTTATTTCTTGCTTTCTTTATTCTTTTTAAAACTTACAGGCCTCTTATTTCCAAGAACTGTTCAGTTTGCTAAATACCCTCTGCTTCTCCTGGCTGCCCTTTAGCTTCAACCAGCTAAACCACAGCACATGTCCCATCTCCTGGGTAGTCTCTGCTTATCACACACTCTCAGTTTGAATAGCTATGAAGCTTGAATGTGGAGTCTAGTGAATCTAGAGACACAGGAATTAATCTAGCTGATTGTGTCAGCGTGACCTAAGCCAGTATCTAGTTCTTTTGTTGTGTAATTGACTTGCTGAGCATTTACCGTGACATTGTGGCATCTTAACCCAGCCTTTCCTTTCTCTAGATTTGTATTTTCTTTTAATTTCTCAACTGCAGTATGTAATAGCTTCCTCTATAATGATTTACTTTCTTAGACTATTCTCTCATTTTCCTTCTTGCACAGTTATTGTTTCTTTCTTTGAAAGGAAGGAGAAATACTAATGTAGATTTAGCAACTACTTATGTTTTTCAAACTGTGTGAAAAGGGCTAAATTTTATTAGTAATAACTAAAGTGTATATTTGCATTGTAAGGATGGATTAAGGAAAAACAGACTCACACTTTGGTCAAAGCATCCATTCCCTTAAAAACATCTTTGGGCAGTGTCTCAAGGTT